GGGCACTTTTTTAGAGGCTTTTTTAAACAGTTAAGCACTAAACAGAGTCATCCACTGTGACTCTTGAAGTAACTATATCAGCCTTTTTCCTTTTACATTTTTTTTCTTTTCATGATGACAGTGATGAAGCTCTGCCTCCCCTGCCTTCCCTGACTGCACATCACTGGACAGGATAATGGATTTTCCTTCTAGGATATTTTTTTCTAAATAATAATTGACATTTCCCATGTCCTAGAATGAAAATGGAATTACTTATGTCTGTTTTGCCTTCTGTCAAATTAACATAGTCATCTTGTCAAGTGACTGTAATTTACAAATGCTGAAATGGAAATTCAAAATAGATATAAAATTAGGACTAGAATCAGTAATGGATTAAATGAAAGAATATACATTCATGATTTAATCCCAGTAAGTTAATATTTATTTCTGTAAAATACCCCAGAAGGAATTTGGCACATTGCTATGAATTACTGTAATGCACTTTCCACATAGAGCTATGCTCCCAAAATTCAGATGCTCTATCTATACTGTTAAACAAGCTGGGCATGTCTGGCTGTTTCTAGACAAGACTTTGGTTATCAGCACATGCACAGGAGGCAGCAAGCACATGGAGCCTGGTGTCCCTGGGGATTGCCTTGCCCCGCAGGCTGACTGCATTCTGAGTGCTTACCTTTCATCTAGGATACCAGCACTCACTGCTTCCTGGGCTCATGCCCTGGGGATGGGTGAGATGGCAGGACAACCAGTTGCTGGCTACAGGGTGGCCAGGCATGTCATGATGTTTTTTGTTTTGCCAGCTGTGCTTATACTCTGAGACATATGGTAGACGGACTCTTGTCTGTAAAACTCTACTACAGATGTCCATTTGCCTTTTTCTTTCTCTTTCCCTTTTCTCTGTTCGCCTGCCATGAGCAGATAGGCTAGGAACTTTGCCAAAATGTAGTTATTAGCTAGTAAGTTTGTTTGTTATTTATTTTACAATAAAATGTGTTTTCTTAGAATATACCTTGAGTTTATTTTTCTTAATTGTAAAGTATACTTCAAGAAAAAACCATGGTTCATCCTTCACTAAGCACAGGGTTGAATTTCCAACCCTCACATGGTAGCAGAGGATGGTTGGAAGATTTATGGTTTTTTCCTTGCTTGTTACTTTAATGATAAATGTTTAGGTTAATTAGATAGATGATTACTTTAGCAATTGAGGAACGCTGATGTAAATCACTCCTAAGAATGCCCAAGAAGAAAAAAACAAGAAAGCATTCTGCAACAACTTTAAATGTCTCTGATGCAGAAGTAAAAAGTATTTTACAAAGGTTCCAAGAAGGAGAAAACTGCAAAGAGGCTGCTCTTAAAGATAATGTGCTTCAACCAAGGTCAGTAATGCCCCCTTATAAGTATGCACACTCTCAAACAGTTTTTCAAGAACCTTTAGATTTTGAAACACATGGTGGAAGGCCAAAGTTTTCACGGGAGCTTTTTCACTCCTACACAGAGAGAGAAACTAATCATTCTCCTCAGAGCTCTATACAAGCTATAAAAGGCTATCATGATCAAATAGAAATGTTTGAACGTGAGCTGTCCCAGGCAAAAATGGCCTTATCTTTACTTGAGTCAGATAAGATGGACTCTCCTGTTGTTCAAACCTCTGAAAATGCCATTTTGGCTTCTTCTCCACAGCCTAAGACACTTCCCCTGGTGGATATTGTGTCAGGCAAATCAGAACAGAGAGCTCTGTAGACGTCATTTATACAATGCCACAGCCCAATGAATTTGGGTCCAACTGGAAAATTGCTACAGGCCCNTGGAAGGGCTGCTGGTACTCTTGGAAGTAATAACATTTGTAGTGGAAGGACTGCTGGTACTCTTGGAAGTAATAACATTTGTAGTGGAAGGGCTGCTGGTATTCTTGGAAGGAATAGCACTTGTAGTGGAAGGGCTGCTGGTACTCTTGGCCATAGTAGTTTTGGTAGTGGAAGGGCTGCTGCTACTCTCAGCAATAATAGCACTTGTAGTGGAAGGGCTGCTGCTACTCTTGGAAGTAATAACATTTATAGTGGAAGGGCTCCTAGTATTCTTGGCAGTAGTAGGTTTTGTAGGGATGCTTAATGTTGAGGTGAATGTTGATAAATCCTCATATTCATTGCTAAGGATGTTTCTGCTCCATGGCTTCCTTACAATCACATTGTTGTCCATTGAATCCATGTTGTTATTTTCAAGTGGTCCATCGCTCTTATGATCTCTCTTGTCTTTAGGTACAAGGACCTTTTCCCAAGTTCTTTCATTTTCTGATTTTACCTCTTCCCGTTGAATATGCTGTACTTTTGTAGGTTCATTATTTTTAAGTCTGTTTCCAGCATCATTCCTGAAGCCACCTAAACAGAAAGATGGAGAAAAATGAAGTAGGTTTTGACTGTGATATTTTATATTCAAAGCTTTATTTTTCTGTCTGCAATTAAGATGTCTGACTAGGGCAATGGAAAAGTGGCTTTTCTCACCTTCATTTCACTTCAAACAATGCTGTACCAAGAACGGCAAAAAGAATACAACTACCTCAATTTAAAGGAAAACTACTTAAGATTAAAACTGCAAAAGCCCTGCTGCTATGTCCAAAAGCCCTGCCGCTATGTCTGACATAAAAAAGTGCCAGCCCGCATGCCAGCAGAGGCGGGTAAAACACACACACACATACACAAATTACTTACAATAATACAATTACTTACAAATTACATTAATTTTGAATTCCTCCCCCCTCCCTCCGACCCACATACCTTTTCCAGCTATTCCACAGAGGATTTCAACTCTGCTCTTGTCTGCCATGATGAAAATGTAAAAATGTAAAAGGAAAAAGGCAAGAGC